CGTGACCCATGGGTGTAGAAACGTTGCACTAGATCATACTGCACTGTAATAAATGTTATTATGTTCCCATTGTATTGTACTGTATAATTCGTGTCACATTCCAACCTAATATAATATGAAAGGATGCACTGTAATGAGATGTATTCCATCCTTAGGTTATTTTTTCCCCCTTTAACAAAGGCATTTCGATTTGGATTACAGACAACACATCTGCTTTGCAACTGAATCTCTAATAACTGCAAATATGGAAAAAAGAACATAGAGAAATGGCCAATTTCTGCTTAGTGTTGAACCATTTGCAAATATTAATATGTCTTGAATAACAGAGCTTAACTGCTGAAAGCACAATTAAATTCCATGCTTTTTACAGTCTAGAGAAGTACCATAGACACGAATAAGATGACACTGGGATGAAAGGCAACATGGGATATAATTGTAGTAATATTTGGATATGCCCTACAAGGGTAGGAAGGCCCTTAAGGAAGGACATTGAGATCACTGGAGTTAGGGCCACAGGGGGGTCAAAACTGCAGGAGTGGTAGCCCCTGGGGAGGCCACAAAGCCTGCCAGGTTTCAAGAAGATTGGTGCAGGGGTTTGGGGGGACCTGCACCTCAATCTGCTGACAGGCAAAACTCATGACATGGTGTATTAAGGCGTGTGTGTTAAGGCGCAGCAGGGTGAAAGCTGCAGGGGTGGTGGCCCCTGCTGTGGCCACGAAGCCTGCCAGCTGTGGTTTCTCGGGCCCTGCACTGCTAGCTGCTGACAGACAAAACTCGTGACATGGGTGCTTATGCAACTGACTGTCTCTGTCTTGGGGCACTTGATTGTCTGTATTGATTATTTCTTCTACTTGGTCATGTTTGTGGGTGTTAATTGATGGTAAATTACTGGCTACATTAGCTAGGTCCTGTGTATTGAGCTGGTCCCTGAGTGAATCATGATTGGTTGGTTACTGGTAACACAGTAGCTCAGCATCCAGGCCTGCAGTAGTCCCCTCCCCCAAGACAGACACAGTTGCACAAGCACCCATGGCATGAGTTTTGTCTGTCAGCAGCTAGGGGTGCAGGGCTCCAGAACCCCCCTGCACTGATCTCCTCAACAGCTGGCAAGCATCATGGCCGCAGCAGGGGCTACCATCCCTGCAGCTTTCATCCTGCTGCGCCTTAACGCACATAGTGTCACCTGTCACAGATTTTGTTTGTCCACAGCTTGAGGTGCAGTTCCCCTCAAACCCCTGCACTGATCTCCTTGAAACTTGGCATGTTTTGTGGCCTCAGCAGGGGTAGCATCCCTACAGTTTTCACCCCCCTGTGGTGTAACACATAGATGTGACATCAACTTTTCTTTCAAGAATTTGGGGTGCAGTTCCCCCTGAACCCCTGCACCAATCTTCCTGAACCTCTGTAGACTTCATGGTCTCAGCAGAGGCTACAATCCCTGCAAATTTCATCCAAATCAGACAAAAAACAGCAAAGTTATAGATATTTCATTGTTTCTCCATTATACCCTATGGCCGGATCTCAGAGGCGGCTCTGAAGCTTTTCTGAAGCGCTTCGGAAGCTCCGAACTGCTTCGGAAAGCCTAAAGAAGCCAGCGCTTTGATCCGGACATGCTGCTTCGGATGCTAAAGTGTCTGAAGCTTCTCTGGATCCGAAGCTCTGTCTGAAGCCTCGCATGGCCCTACCCCCTACAGCCCTTCTGTGTTCTTTTCACAAGCATCAAGCTGGCTGAATAGGGAAGATGGGATGAAAGAGAGAGATGGAATTTCTATCGCAATTGGAATGCGGGGTAGACTCCCAAGGGAAGCCATGAAAATCGGACCACGCAGTTGTTCTGGAAAATGTACTTGGAGGAAGTAAGTTTGCTTTATCGAGCAGGAATGTGGGGTAGGCAACCAAATAGACCTTTAAAAATGACCTGTTTTTCATTTTTGAACATGGGAAGTTGCTTTCCTGCCTGCGCGCTCCTAGATGTTCTAGGAGCCTGTTTTGCTTGTATGGGAATGGGCCTGGGAGAAATTTTGCATGGCATTTGACTTTCTCCAAGATGTTTGGCATTTTAGATAATGTGTATATGGGAGAGTCCCTGATTTAAAGACCTCAGCCTAGATTCTTTTTTGTCCAGATTTTCTGTTTTCATGCAGCAGAGGGGACCCATAGGGAAGCTAGTACTGCACCTTAAATAAGGCATCCGTACTGGCATATGCCTGGCCTCTGCAGAAATAGAGCAGTTTTGGGGACTGCAACAATTATGCCAGCTGGCAGTGTTCCCCAAGGGAGTATAATACTGGCCAGTCAGATTGTGGGAGCTCATCAGACATCACTGTGCATGACTGGTGCCAGGTGCCACGGTGGAACAGGTGCAAGATACATGACCACAGAATTCCCTGCTGAGCAGAACCTGACCCTTTACACCAACAGGTTGCTGCGAAAAGGCCAAAACAGAACTGGGATTCTGGCCTTTGTGATGCCCTAATTTGTAGTGTTTTGTGAATCACTGTTGTAGACTAGCTAGTGCACTTTAGTATTCCAGGTACGCAAAATGGTTTATCAAGAGGAGAAGCTGGGGGAAAAAAAAAAACAAATGAAAATTTTATTTTCTAAAACTATAGAGTGAGCTGACCAAAACTGCAAATCCCTGCCAGATTTATCACTTTTCATTTCTGAAATTCACTTAAATTATTTTTAAAAAAGGGTAAAAACCCTTCATCATCATCATAATCGTAACAGTAATAATAAAGACACACTGGAGAGAACCAAGACTTTCTTTTCAGAAGTTCACTTTGAGCTCGTGAACCTTAAAAAAATCAGTTAGGATTAATTATAATAAACGACTGCAATGAGATGGTCTTGTTTTGCCACATCGGTTGATTTGTTTTACCCAATGATACAATAAGCAGAACCCCCTGGGCGTCTGTAACTAACTTTCGTGCCCTCAGCATTTTTTTCTACAAGTGCTACCTTGGGAATAATAATAATAAAAATGTTTCAAGAGTGAAAAAACTTCTCATAGGGACACATGCAAATGACCTTGTGCCAGTATGGGAGAGGACTGAGAACGGTATGAGTTCCTACAAGTTGGAATCCTCAGCCCTGCATTAGGGGTGCTGATTCCCCATACAATATATGAGGACAATTTGGCTCCTGAGGTATGGCTTTTCTGATACTAGTTGCATCATAACTGCTCCAAATCAGGTAGAATGGGGATTTTAACTTAGGGCTGTACCTTCTGAGCTGTTGGCTATTATGGGGCCAGAAGCATCTATGCACCATTGTTTATAGACTGCTTTTTTGTGCAGACTACATCTGGCTTAGTTTATGGTCTGAGCATACTGGTAGGATTGGGCAGTGCCACAAAGACCAGTAAGTGCCTAGTTTGAAAATCCTGCTCTTGGACCTCAGTATGAGTTAGGGCTCTAAACAACTCATTTATAGGATGGTGTTAGCACTTGCAATGATTTCCACATGTTCAGTGGCAAAAAGTTAAGTGCTTACAGGGGTAATTGATGGCTGAGTCGTGATTTTGAAAATGTCACTGGCAACTTAAATGGTGGATTTGGGGATCTTGGTACTTATATTTATGTATACATTAGATGGATATGTCACTCTTCACAAGAAAGGCTTGGGAAGGCTTATAATAAAAGACAAAACAATATAAAAATAGAATAAATGATTTAAAATGATAACACAGAACGAATTCTTATCCCTAAATCCCCAATATCCAGAAGCAATCCACTCCCATTCTGCTCTCTTGCCCCTGACCAAGGAGATGTCCCTCCCTGACCTTGCATCCAGCCCAACCCAGCCTCTCTCCCCAACCCTCATTCAGTATCTCCATAAAAAAAAGAACAATTCCCACCCCTACATTCCTCCCTATCTCTACCCACTCCTACTCTCAACACTCTTACTCAAGAGTTTCCTTCCCTTGATTTGCTGTCCCTCCCAAGATGTACCTCCCTCTCAGAAAGATGCCATGGTTGTCTCCAAAATCCATTCATCCTTTCCTCCTCCCCCACTATGGAATTAAAAAAAAAAGGAACAGGTAAAACATTGCTCTCCCTGTCTTTGTCCCTGCTGAAGAGCAATGCTGAAGAGCACCCTTGAGCATCACTTTTTTCCCTTTTAAAGCCCATGGGCTGAGTAGGCCTTTCCTTTTCTAGCTTGCTCAGCAACCTGGCCCTTCAGATTCAGCTCCCAGCGATTCTGAGGTTTTACACCTCCGCACTTCGAAGTCCTATGTCTAGAATGGATATACATCACAGGGCTGTTGAAAGGATACATATATTAAAATTTATGGGATAGCCAGATGTTCTGGTGATGGGGACTATACCATTGATAGTAGTGTGAGCTGATAGCATTCATGCTTCCACAGCTGCCAGTTGAGCAATTTCATATAGAAAACTATATGGAAGTCAGGCTTGAATAAAGGTCACCCCTGCCAGAAGGAAGCTTACAATCAAAATGTGAATAGGGCACTAGTTCAGTCTGAATAATGTTTAGTATTGAACCTCTCTGCTGCAGCTGTCACATTAGTTGTGGTGATGGGTTTTGAGAAATAAACTCTAGTCTGGTAGGATATACAGTGATGACCATGAAGTCTTAGAAGGATAACAGGAAAAGTTAGAAGAGAATTAGTTCAACTTTCTGCATATTTCCCCATATTTAAGGCATATTCTGAGAGGGCAAACAACTGATTTTTCAGCGTTCAAAGACAAGGCTCTATACAACTATTTCCATATGTTTTGATTTTTTGCCCTTTTCTTGGTGCTACATAATTGCAGGAAATTTCCTAATATGTTAGGCAGAGAGCTTCTATGACAGTGAATAGGGAAATAGAGAGCATGTCTAAAGCAGATTCACAACAATATCAAGGGGACTTCAGCATCAGTCTACCACATGGAAGATAATCTGTCAGCCTGCATTTGCGTTTGTGATCTTCATAGCTATTTGCCATTGATCTGATGAGACGTCTCTTTCTCTATTTTTTTTTATTTGTGTAGAATAAAGTCATGGGTGGAAAAGATGCAAGATGACCTTGTAACATTGGCAAGAACTGCAAGCGGGGTGGACCGGCTGGCTGAGGTGAGTCAGAATGGGTGGAAGCTTTATCTGCAAGGAGCATGGTGAAAAATGCATAGTATACATCATCTAGAGGATAGAATTAATTCATCCTATCTAGCAATGACTTCTCTGGGAATTCAACTCTACAGCATCCCTTTACTCTAATGTTTACTTGGAGGGAAATGAATAACAGAGACATCCATTAATTCACTCCTTTAATGTTGAAGCACTTGCTTATTGCTAATATTTAATCAGCTCTGGTGTACCAGGCATATGGTTTACCATTGTTGTAACTCACTTGCATGATAACACAGCTCTTTTATATTATATATTTGTCAAATATAGTATCCAGGAAGCAACTGTTCAGGGAAAGATAGTAAAAACCTCTGCTCTGTATTGAAAGAGAGAAGACATGTTTTTTGATGCACACATTTTCTGAATAGAGACAGACTTTATTGGCGACATGTCAATGGAAGACAATAAAAGCTATCTTATTGAATTCAGTTACGCTAGTTTAATTCAGAGTATATATTAGAAAAAAAATTCTTCTTTTCTATGGAGAAGAATTATCTATATTACCATATTTTATTATTTCTTTCTTTCTGTCTCTCAGACTGTCTCACAACCATACACGTGTGCACACATACACAGGCACACACTTAAAGGACTTTTAGGATTTTAAATCGAAAATCAAGCACTCAGAAGTCAGCAAATCCTAGATTTATGATTGCCTGTGCATAAAAGTTTGCGAAGGCAGCCATAGTTTTCCCATGTGCTGACTTCGTATTGCTTGATTTTTGGAATCTTAAAAAGTCCTTTCTAATATATTTATTTTTAGGTGTTCATGTTAAAAATAGTATGTGATCATGTAACTAAACTCAGTGTCATAATCTAAGGAAGAGTTAATTCAAGTTACAGAAGCAACCTTCATTTTTGTCTTGCTAAAGTTTTTGTATTTTCAAAGTACTTGAATTTGCTAAAAAGTATGGTTCAATATAATTTTTTAAAAAATGTTTAATTTTAAAGGTTTTTTAATAGTCTGGAAAAAAATCAGTGTTCTATCATGCCACACCTTATTGATGCCCACATTTGTCACCAGCAGGGTCAAAATCTTTAGATCCACCTCGCAAACCTCTACCACTTGATTTAATATAGCAGTGTTTCTCAAACGTTTGATACCTGCGGCACACTTTTTTTTCTGGGTTAAAATTGGTGACTCCTAGTTGGCCTCTCCAGCACTTGCACCAGGAAAGTTGTTCCCAACACTCTCCAAAAACTTCCTTGCAGAGCCATCCCTAGGGGTGTGCAGTGCCCGGGGGGGTGGGTGGGGGTAGTGAGCGGGGAGGCAGGAGTA